AGCCCAGTTCACAGAATTTGTCACTCTCGCCTTCCCGGGTGATGAACTAGCAGAAGTGAGGCAGAATATCGAGGACAAATACCCCTCGAGTGCATACAATGATAACCAACAGAGGCGTCTCATGGTAGTGTTACGCGACTCGACGTTCGTTTGCAACAACTATCAGATTTACCAGGCATACAAGAAGAATTCCAAAGTCTATGCCACGCGATACGAAATTCCACCGGCTCAACACGGTTCTGATTTGCTTGCTATCATTTGGGACAAGAAGGTCGATGTCGCTGGCCTTATCAAAAGGATAATTCCTTGGCTCCCTGACCGGAGCTCTGAAGTCCTCGAGAGTATATGGGTGTCTTTAGCTTCGAGATACCAACAGTACTTTGCTGCTCATGCACTGACTGGCGATCCAAACTATCTCAATCAGGGCAAGGGACTCGCATGGGAAGCAACAACTGACGATGATAAAGAGTTGACAAACGCACTGAAGGTCGGTCTGCAGTATTCCAATCCTAAACATACTTTCTACTCTCTTGGATCCGATGGTCAGGTGGCTGCGGCGAGCTGCGATTTCTGGAACGATCTTGCAGAAAAGATTACAATCGTCATGGGTAGCGAGAAGAAGCCGACGAGCTTCAGGACTCAGTTTTACGAGCGTTTATGGAGTGGAAAAGGTGAATTGTAGTCGCCACAAGAATGAGGTGAGGGTTTGAGAAAGCTGGAATGGAGAATATGGAAGTGAGGAGGAGATATGATAGGATTTGTCATTTCATTTCTCTAATCTTTGACGAATGGATATCTCTTCTTGCAATCACGGCAAATTTGAAACAATGAAAAATGTTCTGCTTTGACCTATCTGTGCCAAACTTGCAGTGAAATAGCTACAGCTGAGTTATTTGAAATATCGAAAAACCAACGGAACTATTGGGCTGAAAAGTTGCTAGGGCGATACTGCTGCAATAGTCTCAGAACCCATGATGTTTTTCACTTTTATCTTTCTTATCCTTCTCTTTTGATCTTAACGAGGTTCAAACTCCAATGCCATGCCCGAAAGAGTAACCAAGGTGATGGATTGATGTCAAACCCACAGGAACCCTTTGTAGCTACATAGCAAGATTACTCTTTTATTGCATGACTATGAACTTGATAGTCCGAACTCAAAGTTCACTTCACCAAGGTAAGCTCACTAGAGATCCCAGGTCTACAAAGAAGCATCGAAAAAAAGCAAAGTCGAGAGGCTTTGCTCCATAGCTTTCGTGGCCTTCCAAATTTCATGTCTCGTCGAAAATGCGAAATAGTGTCCGGGTCGTCGTCAATAACAATCTGATCATGATTGAACCATGTAGCAATACCTGTAAATCCCCTCTCTTTGGCCAACTTCAACAGTTCTCCCTCCCACTGCATTTTAGCAGATGGCTAAGTAAACTTGACCACATACTCCCATTAATCGTAAAATCGGGGGGTAAATATAGGCTCCCTTTTTGTAAAATGAAGAAGATCAGCCCCAAAAAGATTTAGGCTTGCTCTAAGTGTGATCTTCCTGTGCCTATTGAAAAAGTAGAGGATTCGGGTCTGATCTGTACCGTGGTGTATCAGATATGCAACAAAAACCATATTATTCAAATAGGTAGACTATATCTGAACTAGATAACAGGAATATATAAAGTGTACATCTCAGTGCAGTATAAACTGTGGTTCGGTGATTGGTCAATATCGGCAGTGAGGGGGGGCTCAGGGCCAGCCCAGCGCGGTCTTAATCGAATTTTCTTGGGACCCTGGAATGCTTGTAGAACTCGGGCTTGGCCTTTGCTGTTGTTCTCAGATTCAACATTGCGTTGTCGTCATCTAAACGCCGACTCAACAAAGAAATTCCCGATCTAACAAAGAGATTTCTTCGACAAAGACTTCGGTGCAGTGGATATCACCTCCACAAAGGAGTGTCTGAACAATGACATTGTTAATTTTCAGCTTCCCCCTGAAACAAATCTCAATATGTCTGAACTACAATTGAACAATTCCAACTGCTTGTGTATACATATCGACCTAGTATCTACTCATACTTATTCTCATCAGTTCTACATTCCTTCCATACTACAACACCCACCACATCTTTCCAGCTTTTCGCAAGATTCCAAACACGACGAAATCCAGACTCTAACCAGACAACCCAGCAACAGCCAGGATGTCTTCCAGATTCTGGAGCCACGCACCGTTAGATGTAGAAGAGGAGATGAACCAACGATCCCAGCAACAAAGACCCTCCACCCAATCCCGATCACGATCTGGACCCTGGACCTCGGAGCCCTTGACAAGCGAAGAACGCGCCCGCCGCGCCAATCTTTCCAACGCAGAACGTCAATCGGAAGCCCGCGCCGCCCGCGAAGCTTACGATCAAGCCCAATCCGATTCCCGCAGCGAGACATGGTACCAAGAATCTCCTCCCCGAAGATCCCGAACCCATCGATCCAGCGCCCACACCACACCGACCTCATCGGGAAACTCTCAGTTCTTCCAAGGCAGCACTCAAGCCAAGAGCGCCAAGCAACAGAAACAAGAGCAGAAAGCCCAGAGAGCCGCCGAGAAGAAACATCGTCAAGAAGCTCGCCGCGAAGCCGAAGAGCAAGCTCGCAAGGAAAAGAAACATTTCGAAAGCATGACCCAATGGGAATATGCCAAGCAATGGAGTACTTCCGATCGGGCGGCCTACGGAAACGCATTCGATGACTTCTCTGCCTCGGCAGCGGCGTTCATCAAGGACAACACACAGAAATTTCCTCGACTCAAGAAACATGGTTGTGCGCGAAATAACTGTGTTCAGGGTGAGATTCTCGGGGTTTGCCATCACGAAGTCGAGATGACGCTTCGAGGAAGCGGAGTTTTCGATGAGAAGATGATGAAGAAGGAGAGGTTGAGATGGCATCCGGATCGATGGACAGGAAAGGGAGATTTGCAGACCAAGGCAAATGAACTCTTTCAGCTCATTCAAAGAATCATCGATGGTGATGTTAATGCATGACTGCTCTGCAATTGTGTGTTAACGGATCCGTAAGTGAGAATCCGGTGAGAGGACGGAGAGAAGAGGAGTAGTTGAGCTGGTCTTGCTACTGAAGAATCGAAGACAGGTGAGAAAACGAGTAAGAAATGGCTGAGCTGGTCTCGCTACCCACGTTCCTTTATAAATTTTCATTTGTTGAACTAGATTTCCATTGTTTATTTTGTCATTCATCGGATACAGATTTCCATATTTCCTTTGTCTCTCTATCAACTATCAATCAAACAAAAAATACAAAATATAAAATATGAAAACATTCATATGTAAGTAGAAATCCTATTGATGCCAATTGTGACTCTCGAACCTTGACCTGATTTAAGAATGAAGTAATACTATCTATCTATTTCCATGAAATGAACTTACTTATACTATAGCCTACCTTCTCAACACCAGTTGCTACACATCAACAGACAAGAATTTCATTTCCATGACATCGAATTCCCTACCAAACTCCCGCACCGAAACACACTAAAACCTTCCAGACATCAACTCACAACCCCGCAAGACCCCAGACCTTGTCCTCGTAACTAAAAAAACAGACCAACTCCCACATTGATGTTCAAGTAAAACAGATTCTATGTCTATCCTAGATTTATTACCTCACTCCTCGCCCCATCTCCCCCACCCGAGATCACGATGACCCTTGTATACACACTTAAATACAGCGCGCCCCGCCCCATACCTCTGGTAACCCAAAGCTATATATACATCCCTCTCAACCCCATCTGCACATCCATCCACCCACTCGTAAGTCGCTCGCAGCTCAAAGCACAACATAGGAACTTTCCCGTTTCTCGGTATCGATACCAAGGTTTTGGACTGGAATTCCATGATGGAAGTCCTCAATAATATTGCATACCGCTACTCACTTGAGCAACACAGACAGATCAGCATGGGTGTGGACGTGAACGCAGAGGATATCTCGATTTCTCAATATTTTTCAGTTTCATACTAGGTACTTATCTACTCGCTGTCTATACTACCTGGTACCTAGCACGTATGCTCCCACTCCCACTCCTTCCTGACCCTCTGCCTCTCCTCTTCCTTTTCCGTTTCCTTGCTCCTCTTTCCCTCTCCTTCCATCCCATCCCTTCACTCCCAATTAAGCTGCCTGCCTGCCCCTGGCCTCCAATTGCCACAGCACAAGATGCAATAATATCGCTCACATTCGCATTCGTATTTGCGACAGCTGTAACTGTAGTCGCCCTGGATCCTTGAAGCAATGCTGAGCATAAGATGCTAACCAGTTTGAAATTATCCATTCTCTCGCCCAAGCGCCCTTCCCTCCCTCACCGACAAAAGTTCCCCTTCAATCCAAACCACAACACTTGCGCCCACTTGTCTTCAAATTTTACCATCAGAATCTCCCCTCGTGCCCATGCATCCTCCACCTAGCCACACAATATCGCATCTTTGAAAATCGCTTTGGGGAATCAAAACAAGAAACACAAAAAGAGTAAGCCACCCCTTATGCCACAATGACGGCACAAAACAAAAAAAGGATTATTAGGAAATTTGCTGTTGGAGTGTGTGGTAAATTCATAAAATTCGTCATCAATCCTTCTTTCTCTCCATCCCTCCTCCTTTCCCCCTCACCCCACCATCTTCATCTTATTCCTCCTCCCCCCACTACCACATCAATGAAATTTAATGTTATGTCGCGTGCCCAGCACAAATTCCGGATCTCAATAGACAATTAGTGCAGATGGAAAAGTTTCAACAAGTAATTATGAATTTCTTTGATGATGTGTTTATCCACGAATGAATGAAATGGAAAAAAAAAAGTTGGCGATCGCTCAGACCTAGTCTTTAAGTTAAGTATGAATCCATCAGCTCCGTAAACGCCATAAAACTTGCTTGCTTGCATGCTTAGCTCAATTTACACAGAAAAGAAAAGGGAAAAAACTCCGTATTGGTGAAGAGAACGAATTCCACATCCGTTCTCAAAAAATTACATGATGACGCAACAGCCACAACCTTTGCTCGACTCAGGAGAATCTTGAACACGAATTGGTGGCTTAGGATCTGGGATATTAACACCTTGCGGTTTACCAGTTGCGATTTTTGGCATTGTGCTATAACTTGATGCTCTCTCCACTGGTGATCTAGGACCCGTACTTAATGTAGGTGATTTAGGAGTCATGGCGGAAACAGGTGAGACTGGCGAAACTGGTGATGGAGATTGTGGAGCGCTTAATGGCCATTCTGGAGCTTGTTCTTCTGACTTTGATTCCTCTGGTCCATCTGGTGGTGGCGAAAATGAATCCGGGCGTGGTCTGTATCCCTGTTGATTTAATGGCCTAAAATCTTTATCATAAACATTTCCATATTTACCCTCCTTCTCCCATTGTTCTTGTTGCATACGTTTTGCATGAGTCGGAATTACTTGTTGATCGGGAGGTAATCTAGGATCAGGTTTGTACATAGTAGCCAGCCAAGGTGGGTCACCTTCAGGTCGTTTTGATGTATTAATTAAGTCGCCTGAACGAGTTTTTGGTCGTATATCTGGCGCGTTTGTTCCGCTCGGCTTTTGTTTTTGTCTTTGTGTTGATGTTTGTCTACCTCCGGGAAGTGCGGCATTTGCGCCAATAGATCCTTTCCGTCCTGGCGCTTTCTTTGTAGGAGATCGTTCGGATGGCGATGCACGAGCAGGTGTAGGTGATACTCTGGCAGGAGTAGGCATTGGAACATTTGAAGAAGACTGTGTAGCATCATCAAGTATAAGTGAACTTTTGACACTGTGACTCCGGCTTCTTGCTTGCTTAAATGATAATGGGTCCTCCTCGTCATACCAATTGTTGCTTGTTTTCCGAGCTATAGGTGTGTCTCGTTCGAGGTAATCGATCGGTATTGGTAGGGGACTCGTTTTCGATATTGGTATCTTCGATATACCTTTCGCACCTAAATCTCCAGCAGACTCTTCAGGTAATCGTAAATCCCAAGGATTACCTTCTCCATCTCCATTCGCCCCCATCTTCTGCCTTTTTTGCCCCTCACTTCGAATGGCATTACTGGCATCTTGACTACGATCCCGTCGACTAGATTTGCTTCCTGTTCTTGGACGAGGTATCGGGATTCCCGCTGCTTGTAATTCTTCATTCTCAATTCGGGCCAATTTGTCTCTGTGAATCCACCGAGAATGTTCCACATCATCCATTTCATACGTTCCACCATTCATACCTTTCTTCCCCCCAGAATCCATACTTCGACCACCTTTGTTATTTCCATATGAATCCAATAAACTATCAGGAGCACTAGGAGTATCGCTGATGTCACTGTTCTGTCGATTTAATTCATTTGCGCGAGCTGGAGCCAAATGGTTATGATCGAGGCGAGGACCAAAGGTTTCTGTACTTGGACGTAATGGGTAACCGTTTGTTTGGGAAATTTGTCGATTGTGATTATGATAGTCGGTGACGGCAGAAGGTGAGGTCGGCTGGAGGAAAGTTTAATTAGCATAACAACTTTAAAAAAGCCGAAGGTAACCATAAGATTAATTTTTTTTACCTCTACTGGCACAGAATAATTCCAAGAATCTTGACCGTGAGAACTACTTGGCGGTGTCAAGCTGGTATGGGCTTGCGATGTAGAGATCGTTGCCATACTGATTCAAGACCTTTCACCCCAAGATTTGAAGATCTGCCGAAAACGACCTTCCCACCCTAAGAGTGATTCAATTCTTCCCTACCAATGCTTTCCGATCAATCTTCTTGTACCCGGACTTCTTTTGGTGTAATTGGTATGAATGAAGTTGCCTTGATCTCTTCGAATTGGCGGAACGAAAGGTCTCTTTCTTCGTATCTTTTGTTAAGGTGTGACAAAACCAAACCAAATTAGAACAAGACTTTTCTTGAATGAATTCTTAGCACTCAATTGTTGAATAGATCCTTCTTGATCATCTGGGTTGGTCGATAGGAAAATAGGAGAGACTTTCTGTATGTAATAGTGAATGTAGTGGACTGGTGAACGTGCGTCTGCAGTGCGGCAGTGCCAAACAGAGACACAACGGCGATTATACCGACCAATTAAATTATTTAATGAATAAGTAATACCGAAATGAAGATAAGTGAAGCTGTTGGTGAATGACCGCACTGAGACTTATGACCATTGACCGGTCCAACACAGTTCTTTTCTTCCTTTCGCCCTCTTTGTTGTTGAGAGCGCGAAGAGGTTTGAGAAGAAGTCGGGGAAGAAGTTGGAAGAGAGTTGGAATAGAATGCTCCGAACGGTTAATGGTCAAGGTACTACTAGGTAGGTAAATACCTAGTAGATCGAATGAACGGGTAATTTGAGCATTTACCTAGGTAGGTAGAAATCATGAATAATGAATAAGAAAAAACGAAGCTATCAAACTATACACGGAATACTGCCTACTTTTGAACAAGGGGAATAAGAAATCATGATCAATAATCTTAAGTCTTGCGAAAGGAGAGGTGAGTACCTGGTAGCTTTTTAAACATTTATATCAGTCCGTCCTAGTATCGTTCATTCATATCGTTCATACCGAAGACCAGTCAGTTTGTGCAGTGGATCAACGAATGAAATGAAAGACTTTCCCAAATGCTGGGTCCTTGACCAGAGAACTCCCAAATGGCTTGAATGGGTAGAACAAATCATCGTGACCCAACGTGCCCATTTAACTGTTGAAAAGCGGATACAAACCAGGATTGGTATTGGTTAATCATTTTGGCAGGTGGTCGAGAAGGTATCCGACCGGTAATTTGATCTGTGTTCAATAAAAACAAACTTTGAAGTACCCTGGTTCCTAGCAATCCTTTTTTCTCCGAACGTCAATGTTCAATGTCTATCAATACAAGAAAGAGAGAGTGTGTGAGGCGAGGTGTGTGAGGTATAAGATGTAAGGTTTGAGGTATGAGTGAGATGTGAGTGAGATGTGAGAGAGCTGTGAGAGAGCTGTGAGTGAGGTGTGAGTAAGGTGTGTGTAAGGTGTGTGTAAGGTGTGTGTAAGGTGTGTATAGGGTGTGTGTAAAGTGTGAGGTGATGAGGCGAGTTGGATAGAGGAATAGATGAAGGTATTGATGAATATCATCCTGCAATGTCGTCTCTCTAGTACTGGGTAGAATCCGGGTGAGTATTAGGTATGTATAAGGCAAGAAATCAACACATCGAGGCAATTTCGTCAAATCAACCCAGTGGATGAGTCTATCCTTTTCCCTCCCTTCCCAGCCTTGTCTAGAATGTTGGTCTTTTCCCTTGCCCATTAGACCAATTATACGTCAAGGGAATGTGTCATTAATATATTATTAATGACAACGGGTAAGGCTACTACGACCTTCTTCGTGCCTTCTTTCTTCCGATATTCATTATATTCCTGCAAACTACAGTGCCGGCCAGTATATCTTCCTACCTCACACTTATCTTCACTGACCATCATCGTACCCCTGACCTGTCAAAATCCTAACTCATTCATCACCAGAGAGGGGTACTCTTAAAAATATCACAACATGGTCGATCCCTCCTATGAACTCGACCGTCTAACATATGAACCCTCTCATCACTCTCAAGATTCGTGTACTACCTCATCATCACATGAGCCTCAAAATTCATACCTTACTTCACCCTCTCCGGAACCTCACATACCTACAATAACCCGAACTACTCGTACTCGCAGAACACGGTTCGTTTGTGTTTCCGATACACATAATGGTGTTGCAAATGGATCATTCAAACTACCACCCGGTGATGTTCTCATTCATGCAGGCGATTTAACAAATCAAGGAAACTATGCGGAATTAGAAAAAGCAATCAAATGGATTGAAGATGCTGATTTTGAAGCCAAAATTATCATTGCTGGTATGCATAATATATCCACCCAGGTCTTACTAGGGGATCCATCCCCCTACATTCACCAACCCCATAAAAACGTTCTATTTCCATCTTCATTTATTCCGAACAAAGATAATGTAAAAACTAATCATTATGTAAGGGAACCATGATATAACACTCGATCCACCATTTTACTCTCAATATGGTCTTTACTTCCATAATCAAAATCCACAGGATATCAATAAGTGTCAAGAATTGTTAGATCGTTCCCCCTCAATTCTATACCTTAACCATGAAGCGGCAGAAGTTTCTTTAGCATCACCTACAGGTCCACATACTACATTTCGTATTTTCGGTTCTCCTTTTTCCCCAGCAAAAGGAATGTGGGCTTTCGGTTATCCACAATCTGATGCTTCCACAAGATGGGATGATATTCCTTTGGATGTGGATATTGTACTTACTCACACACCACCAAAATATCATTGCGATGAAAGGAATGATCGTGTAGCTGCTGGATGTGAATATTTACGTCAAGCTTTATGGAGAGTTCGTCCACGATTAGCAATATGTGGACATGTTCATGAAGGAAGAGGTGCAGAAATTATTCAATGGGATCTTGGGTCTTCAAACATTAAATTCAAGGAGGATGGTGTGGTTCGTTGGGAAGATCCGGGTAAAGATAATAAAAAGATGTCTCATATCGATTTGACTTCAAAAGGAAGAATAGGAGGAAATGCGTTCAAGAACGACGGGGCCTTTGGAGATTGGGAAAATCAAACATGTGAACCTACTGCTAGTATCAGTAACCTAACAACGTCAATTGGAAGTGGTCTCCCACTTTTACCAGAAGAAAGAACAAAAGATAAAAAGAAATGGCACCGAAACAATTCTACGGCTAAAATGGCAATTTCAAATGTAGCGAAAAGATTACTTGCGATACCAGAGGAGATACTTTCCCCAGCTCGAGGACAAGGTGGAGCACCACCATCTTTACGTTGTGATGTAGAAGCTCTATGCGGACGAATTGGACGACAGGAGACATGTGTGATTAATGCGGCGTTGATGGCTTCTAGTTGGCCTCATGGAAAAGGAAGGGGAGGGAAGAGGTTCAATAAACCTATCGTTGTGGATATTGATCTGCCTGTTTGGGAAGAGGTAGAATCATGATGCTTGTAGATAGCGGATGATGATGATAATGATAACCATAAATTGCAAAGTTTGCGGTTTCACAGTGTTGTGGTAGGTTGTGATCGTCGTCAACGGTCTTGAAAGAGAGTGTGGTTTCTGGCACGGAGGCCGAACGTCTGGAAGATAAGATTATTAGCATAAATTCTGCTCATTCAAGTGGAGGGATCTGGATTGGTATCTGCATGTCTCGTCTTGGCTTTAGTAATCCATGAATCTTCTCATCGATCGTTTCTTTCGTCATTTTGATCCAGACTCAGCCGCACTTCCAACCTCCTTCGTAGCCAACCATCAAATCCATCGAGTTCATACACGCCCTTAATGACATGAGTGTCCTCAAATGCCGTCTTCATGAAGCTGACTACTTGTGTAAGTATGTGCGAGTGCACAAGTATGAGTGCCGCTGTGGATGTGGAAATACCTAGGAAGTCACAGGCGGGGTTAGTCAAACGCTCGCATTGAGTCTCAATGAACAGTATATTTGAGAAGCGCGTACTTTGAGAGGGGCAGCCAGTAGAATCCTCTCCGTCTCCATGATCAGATTTCTAGCGAGTAGTGTAGCATTTTCCCGTATTGTATTCGGACGCATGGAAGGCGCAAAAGGTATATTCGGAGTAATTGATTAAACTCTGGACGTATTTTTGTGGAAAATGGCAGATTCAATCTTTGATAATCGTACGAAGAACTGTGGAATCGAAGTAGTATGTTCAATGTTGCTGAAGAGGCATGCTATTCAATTTGCTTTGGCACACATTGTGGTTTGTGATGCTTTTCTGGGGCACTTGTAAAGCTTCAGTTCCCATATCATTTCTGTCTCCTCTCTGCAGCCTTGATCGCTTACTGATACACCTTAGCAACCTCAGTATCCAGCCGATCTTCAGGAGTTTCCCCCCACAACATTTCATTTTCATTCAAAGAAATTGAAAATGTCTTTTCGTTCTTTTCGTCGATCTAAAGAATCTCTGCTACCGTTTACCAAGTCGCCAACGCCGCCATGGCATTGTGCAGAAGATTCGCGTTCTCCGAGACGTCCGAGATCGAGATCGATGTCAACACGTTCGATTCGTCGATGACGTGAAGGCATCAACCCAGAAGGCCCAAACTTAGGGTTCATATGGGGGTACAAAGATCTAGCACCATCACTGATGTGTCAAGCACAGCCTCAAAAATTGAAGCGAAGTGCGCATCAGGAAAATGACGTGGCTGAAAACTCTTCTCAAGGAGAATATCGAGGTTCCGAGCGATACTTTGCAAGAGAAAGCAGAGGACGTTCGCAGACTCCAGAAGAGCTCAATGTAGAGGTTTATACACAGAAAAGTGTGAAAGAAACTACCGTGAAATCGTTTGCGCAAGATTCGCATGGTCAAGCCACAGAAGCTGATGAAGAAATGCAATCTGTCGATGCATTGACAAAGCGAGACAAAAGAATCTCGGATCTTGAGAATGAAAATACCATCTTGAGATCAAAGCTTTGTAAGCTCTCAATAAAAAATACCTCGTTCAATGAGCAAAGAGCAATGCTTCGCAATACGATGATGAATCTTAGAGAAGAGAATGAATCTTTGGGGAGAATGCTGAATCAAACAACACCCATGACTTCAACCCCAGTGAGATTCGGATCTCGCCCAAAAATCTATGTTCGAAACCCTGCTGCATGTTCCATGGGTCCTACTCAGGACGCATCTAAAATGCCTATGATGGGTGAATCTTCTGCAAACAAGAGAAGTTATGCTGAATTTTCCGAACCATGTCAAGATAGCTACACGGGACCGCGGTCAAATATTAGGGCTGCAATCAATCATCGTCATTTCACTATTTGTATTCTTTCTTTACCATGTAAATTCAATGTAGGCTCTAAACGTAGCAAGAATACCCAAAACCTTCTGCTATTTTGGAATCCAAATTAATTCTAATAAAGCCGATAATGTTGGCTTGACAGTGTGAAGTCAAAAAGAGGGAATGTAGATGCCGCACGTGATTTCCATTTAGTTCAATTTCCAAAGCTGATATTTGTATGGTTTCTGAAAGGAAACACTTCTTTTTCCCCAACAACAACAACAACAACAACAACAAAGTCGATTCTTATCAAAGATCGGCAGTCATGATAACTTACAAGTCGAGAAGAGCAGAAATGCTGGAGAGACTGTTTGTAGAAGAAAGAGAAAATGCTGAGTATTCACGCGCGTTGAAAGAAGCTCAAAAAGAAGCTTCAAACTTTGAGGTGGTCGCGTCGTTGCCCAAGCTAGAAAAGCTGAAGGCAATTGAAAGTGCCGTTTATAAGAAGCTATGTAAGTATAATGAACAACACTCCTTTTTAATGAAAATTTGCTAACAACCTCTAGTCGGTGATGATCCATCAGATATGAAGACATCCTTGACCGATGAGGCAGAAGAAGAAATCCTCGAATTGGAAACACTTCCCCCCCCTGCCAGCGAAAAGAAGACGAATATCGTCGACGCAGCTTCAGCAGAAGGGAACGCATTCGTAGAATCTAACCTAAGTCACGCGAATCAAGCTTCCAAGCCTGCTGCCCCTGCAGAAGTTAGACCGTTAAGTCGCTTAGAAGAAATTCAAATGCGAGTCGGTACTAAGCTCAAGGAAGAGATGGGTGCTGCGGCCTGGCAAAGACGAAAATTAATCAATGCAAAGGACGTCGCCTATGAGAAAGACAGATTGGAAAGGATAAATTACCAAGCGAAACTCATTCCGAGGAAACCTGGTGGCAAGATACATCAATACACGTCCTTTGCTCCCGCTACATATGATTGTAGGACATATTGGTCTGCAGAACATGGTTCACAAATCCGAGCTGCTCAAACTGCATTACATGTACGTTTCCAGAGCGTATTCGAAAAGGATGTCGAATTCCGCTTGTGGCCTGAGCCAGCAGATTGGAAAGCGTTTGAGAAGAATCCTCAAAAAGGTAGAGAAATTCTTGCTAGGGCGGAAAAGTTTCTGGATTTCTGGATCTGGGATTTCTTGTCCCAAACACACGCTACAGATCGAGTTCCTCTAATTACTTGTCTTGATTGGTTCTTGAAAGGAGACAAGTCACCTAAATACAAGAGATATGTCAAGCTGTGTGTCACTCCAAAACCGGAGAATGCCGTTGCAGCAAAGGCATTATTCCAAGCCCATACAACAAAAGTCTGGGGTGGCTTACCAAAGGCTATTGCTGTCTAAGACAGGAAATTAAACAAGGAACATGCTGAAAGAATAGCAAAAAACATTGACCCAAGTACTATGGCTCAGCCATCCATCGAAGAGGTTTACAGAAAGCTAGTTGACGATGAAGGATGTTCAAAGGTAGTCTCCAAAGAGACTACTATGCGAAATCGTCTAGGTGAATCCGACAGTAAACAAGAAGTTGCTAAAGGCACTATTGATACCAGTACCAAGGATGCAAAAAAGTCATATCCCAAGGCAAGACAACCGGAATTTAATGTCCTCCAAGTGAGCGCTGATGGTACACACGAAGTTATCTCAGCCAAAGATTCTCGTGGTGTGACTCATATTTCCCAAGCAGCTGCTGATAAAGCTGATGAGGAGTACGCCAAGGATTGCAGGCAACTTCCAAATGCCTCTCCGGACGGGGACACTGTTGTCGAAGCAGAACAAGACTCAAAGGATGAATCTGATTCTGCTTCTGATTCAGGTTGCCCATTTTCAAACCCTATTGAAACTGATGGGCTCCGCGGACGACCACTTGGTCCCTGGTCACCAGCCATTGAACCTCGTCAATCATTTAGGTCATCTTTTGCTCGTCGTTCATCAAACAATGATGACCGTCCCGTGGCCAACTTTACCAATAGTCCCCGTGCGTCGCACGATAATCTTTTTGGTGATTATGGTAGGCTTCTCGCTGGATATAGCTGTCCTCGTAGTTGGGCTGACGAGTCCAGAGAGCCCTCTCCAGTGCGCGCTGTACAAGCAGCACCAGAGGTGACTAGTTTTCGTTCCGTATTCGGTTTCAATAGACCAGATGATGTCACAAGTGGAATGTCTTCGCTAAGTCTAGAAAAGACAAAGCCGCGCAGAAACAGTGCAGAGACCTTTTTACCTCCAAATAAGGAGTTTCGGTGTGAAAACTCCGGATGAGCTGAGGTGGTGTGGTGCGGTGTTGAAACACCTTGAATTTTGGGGTTAGGATTGATAAAGGAGTTGTAGAATAGAATAAAAATGGTATTAGAATGCATGTCTCCCCTTTGATTATGATCTTGTGACAACATAAAAGCGCTAAGATGCTTAGCTAAGATTCTTTGATTGAACTTGTAATATTTCCTCCTGTCGCTATATCCATTCGTTCGTAACTAACACGAAATCACTCCATCATCAAACTTCAATCCGAGTAAAGGAATAAAGGTTCAGATTACCTTACAAATATTTATCACAGAGTTATTTTTCAATTCATTCAAGTCTCGCAATGAGAAAGTAGAAAAGAAGTAGTTCAATTACAATAGATAACTTATCTATTCGAGTTGTACTTGAAAGTACTCAAGTTCTCATTCGGCGAATGAGAAGTAGGACAGGAAAACAAAATTTGAAATTAATTCTCAAAACAAGTAAACTTTTATTCAAGTCATATTTCTTTTTGTACTCAGAAATTTTATTTTAAAAAAGATTATTATAGCATTTTAGTTTTATTTAATTAACTCCTGAAAAGAGGTTACATATTCGAGATATAGATATTTAGTTTGATTATATAAATAAAGATTTAAAATATTTATATATTTATATATTTTTAAACTCTATTAGTCGAATAGATAATCTAATATAAATAATCGTTCCCCTAATAGATATTAATATTCTCAATATTTCCTATAAATATTCTTTTTGTTGATTTTAATAATTAAAATTAATAAGTAAAATTGATATAATAAACTATAAATTTTATAAGCTTAATTATATGAATAAAAATCTAAGTATATTTATATATTTATATATTCTATTAGTCGAATAGATAATCTAATACAAATAATTATTCCTCGAATAGATATTAATTTTCTTTATATTCTTATATATATTCTATTTATTAATTATATTAATTTTAATAATTAAATTTGATATAGTAAATTATAAATCTTATTAATTTCATTATATAAATAAAAGTCTATATATATTTATATAATTATATTCTATTAGTCGAATAGATAATCTAATACAAATAATCGTTCCCCTAATAGATATTAATTTTCTCTATATTCTTAATATTTTTTATATATATTCTATTTATTGATTTTCATAATTTGTATAGTAAATTATAGATTTTATAAGCTTAATTATATAAATAAAGATTCAAACATATTTATATATTCTATTAGTCGAATAGATATTTTGCTATAAATAATCGTTTGCCTAATAGATAATAATCTTTTTAATATTTTTCATATATATTTTATTTATTAGTTTTAAAAATTAAAATTGATATAGTAAATTATAGATTTTATAAGCTTAATTATATAAATAAAGATTCAAACATATGTATATATTCATATAACGTGATTCATTACCGAGTAAATCATACAAAAATTAATTTTTTTTAATATTCATAATTTAATAATTTATTAATATCTTTTGAAAAAGAAACAATATTCAAAAATAAGAAAAATTACATAATCAAAAACTATAACTATTTTTATTATATACTAAAAACAATTAAAATTCTTGTGGTTTTCGCTATAAAAACACTATTTTTATAATAATTATTATATTAAATCTAATTTGTGATAATTGATCAGAAACTTATATTATTTATAAAGATAATTATAATATTTAGAATAAAAAAGTGAATTATATTGATAAATAAAGAAAGTATATGGTTATATATAGACGAATTTTATATATAAGATAAAGTAATTCATTTAGTGATAAATCCTGTTATTCTATTAGTCGAATAGATAACCTAATATAAATAATCGTTCCTCTAATATATATTGATTTTCTTAATATTTCTTATATATATTCTATTTATTAATTTTAATAATCCAAATTAATATAATAAATTATAAGTTTTATAGGATTAATTATATAAATAAAGATTTAAATATATTAATATATATTAAAAGATTAAGTAGAAGAGGCCTTTGTATTAACTATTTTACTTCGCGTATAGACATCTTGATTTCTTTATAATATTATTTTGAGAAAACCAATATGCCTGTCTATAGTTTATCTAATCTAGCCCGTTTAGGTAATCGTATTACTCATCACTACACATGCTTAGCACCGGTAACTTCTATTCCTTTTAATAATATATTTATATACTCTATTAGTCGAATGGATAATCTAATATAAATAGCCCTTCCCCGAATAGATATTAATTCTCTTAATACTTTTGATATTTATTCTATTTATTCATTTTAATCTTAATAATTAAGATTTATATAATAAACTATAAATTCTATAAGCTTAATTCTATAAATAAAAATTTAAATATATTTATATATTCATACAACATAACATATAAAAAACTCGGATATATAAAGAACTCAAACACTTTTTCAATTATTCTATATACAATCTTGTTCTACAAACCATACAATCCTCCAATTCCAATTTCGAATTATTTAAATTATTTTTTAGCTTTTTTTTTTAATCTTTTTTTTAATTCTTTAATTGAATATTTATATAATTATCCTTATAACTTTTTCTTCTTCGGTTTTTTCTTTATCTTATATATTATTTTTAATATTTTTTTATTATTAAAAACAAATTAATCTTATAATTTGATTCTTTTGTTTTTAGTTTTTTTTTTTTAAATCTCAATTACCTTCTGAGTATTAAAAAACTATTTCCAAAATAAAACTATCTTAGTATTTTGAGATTCTATAAGTCTAATTATTCTTTTAGTATATCAATAAATTTGTTGGAAATCATATGTGTAGCACGTGTGTAGTATGTGCATATTACTATAAAACTCCTTCTTTGGACTTCCCGAATATATAGACTTTATATATATATTCAACATATTACTCTCTATGTGTAACTTGCTGTCTATTTCTAACAAAATTAATAATATAAAAGAATTACTACTTACTAAAACTATATTAAAAATCTGATTTACTTGCCTTAATTCTATTCCATCTAAAAAAGAATTTCTAAATATAAACAAATCTAGATCTTAATTGAAAATTCTTATTTGTAAAATAGAAAATTACTAAAAGAAATTAAATAATAATGAATTGAGTACTTTTCATAGAATAAAAGATATTAAACTAATTCCTTTTTAGTTAGTTTTAATATTAAAAGAATTTAATGCTTTTTTTCTAATATTTTGAAAGAGTTTTATTTATTTAACTTTTTGGATTTGCTTTATATTAATTCAAGAATATTAATCAATTTTTAAAGTATAATATTGTTTTATTAGTTTATACACTGTAATATCAAGTGGCTAAAATAAATAAAAATAATAAAAAAATAATATGTGAATAAATCAATATTATTATTTATATAAAAAACAATAAAGCTATTTGTAATATAGCTTGAATAACTATTCATAATTAAAAGTCGAAATTAATTACCTAACATTTTTTTAAATTCTGATTTGAAAACCTTTTTTAATTATTTTAATTTATAACTATTTGAAATCCATTTATTTGTATTAATAGAGAATTATTAGTTTTGAAATATATTTTTTAGAATTTATATAGAATTTATATTCTAAACTTTAAAAATAATTATAGATAATAAAGTATTTCTAATTATATTAATATATTCAAATATAGTTATTTATTTTTGTTTATCAATTATAACTTTCTAATTCGATTTCTGAATAAAATCAATTATTATATAAATACTTTAAATACTTTCAACTCTAAATTCGATTTCATTTATATTATATATATTATCTAATTTATATTTTCGCTTAATAAAATATATATAAAATATATTAAACCAAACCTGAATATTCTCTAAAATTATTTTTCTAGCCTAATTAGATTTTAATTAATATAAATAATATATTTTAAATTCTAAATATTATTTTTGGAATTTATAGATTTATTTATAGTTTATAAATAGAATTTCTGTTAAAATAGGATTTCGAAATAATATAACCCAAATACATCGAAAACAAATTTTATTAGTTATTTTCTTCATTAATATAGATATAATAAGAAATCCAATAATAATAAGTTATGAAATCTATTATATAAAAGTATTTTCTTTTATGTTTAAAAGAATTTGAGTTATTTTATAAATTTGGGAATATATTTTCTTTTTAGTTAACTTATTAGCTGGAATAGACTTAAGGACTTCAAAATGCTCTGCAGTTTTTTTAATTGATTTAAATTCTTTTAATTGAAATGAAATTATAGCCTTTTGAAGCTTCTCTTCAATTTAAACAAATATAAAAAGTGATTGAATATATATAATAAAATTTATTACAATTTCAAATTAATAATAAGCTAAAAGTATCCGAGTTCCCCATATATCCGAGTTCCCCATATATCCGAGTTCCCCATACATTACGTTACTCTATTAGTCGAATAGATAATCTAATATAAATAATCATTCCTCTAATAGATATTTATTTTCTTAATATTTTTTATATTTTTTATATATATTCTATTTATTGATTTTAATAATTATAATTGATATAGTAAATTATGAATTTTATGAGCTTAATTGTATAAATAAAGATCTAAATATATTTATATATTCATATACCTATTAGTCGAATAGATAATCTAATATAAATAACCCTTCCCTGAATAGATATTAACTTTTTTGATATTTCTTATATATTTTCTATTTATTACTTTTAATAATTCAAATTAATATAGTAAACTATAAATTTTATAAGGTTAATAATATAAATAAAGATTCAAGTATATTTATTTATTTTTAAATGTTCTATATACTCTATTAGTCGAATAGATAATCTAATATAAATAACCGTTCCCCGAATAGATATTAATTTTCTAAATATTTTTTACATTTTTTATATATATTATTAAAAGGAATAGAAGTTACTGGTACTAATCACATACTATAATTAGTAATATAATTACCTAAACAGACTAGATTAGACAAACTATAGACAGATATATTAATCCCTTTCGAGAAGAGTAAGAGGGGACCAAGATGTCTATACGCAT